TGCAGTGTTTTCCTCAAAGGACATGTTTCTGCATAGATAGGCCTAGACGTAGCGCTGGGCACGTAGCGGGTTGGGGTGGGCAGAACACTTTGGTGGAGGTTTGTTAGGAAGGCATCTTGCCGGTTGTAGGGTAGTTCCTGAGAACAATGCTGAGCCTATTCCTCATTCATTAAACGTTGGCTACTTTGTGGCAAGCGTTCCCTAGGTTCGGAGGAAAACGGTCACTTTATGGGAGAGATGGACATGTGAGCAAATGGTTACACTATTTGATTAACGTTAGAGGAGGGGTATCTGGGGATTCAGGCAAGTCTTTGGAAAGAGTAGATATTCGAATTGGGCTTTGAAGAAGTAGTTCACGGAGAAGCAGGGAGCAGGATCGCAGGAGGAAGAGGGAATGGAATATCCAGAGGCAGGAGACGCCCTGTGAGGAGAGGCTTACATGTGGGACGTGACTGGAAAGGTGTTTGGGGGAGGGGGAGGGGGGGGCTTTTAAAATTTCTGTGACACGCTGAAGGATTTGAACCTTATCATCCCTAAAGTTAGAGAACCCTGACTTTCAAAGTACTGGAGTGACATGATCAGCTCTGTGTGTCTGAAATCAGTAGAGAGGAAGGTTTAAGCTGGGAGCTCACTTAGCCTATTGCAAAGGCCCAAATAAGAAATGATGGCTGGGGAAAAGGCTCCAGAAGGGGACAGGGAACATAAAGGAGGGAGAGCTGACTTTGTTCACTACTTGGAAGAGGGAGAATGAGAGACAAGGGGTGGTTGTTGCTGTCCAGTCGCTGAGTTGTGTCTGACTCTTTGTGACCCCATGGACTGCAGCAAGCCAGGCTTCCTTGTCCTTCACCCTCTCCCTGAGTTTGCTCAAACTTTTGTCCATTGAGTCGGTGATGCCATCCAACCATCTCGTTCTCTGTCGTCTTATTCTCCTCCTGCCTTCAGTCTTTCCCAGCATGGGGGTCTTTTCCAATGAGCTGGCTCTTTGCATCAGGTGTCCCAAGTATCAGCTTCAGCTTCAGTGCTTCCAATGAATATTCAGGGTTTATTTCCTTTAGGATTGACTGGTTTGATCTCCTTGCTGTCCGAGGGACTCTCAAGAGTCTTCTCCAACACCACAGTTCGAAAGGATCAATTCTTCAGCGCTTCTTCATGGTCCAACTCTCACATCCGTACGTGACTACTGGAAAAACCATAGCTTTAAGTATACGGACCTTTGTTGGCAAAGTGATGTCTCTGTCTAGGTTTGTCATAGCTTTTCTTCCAAGGAGCAAGTGTCTTTTAATTTCATGGCTGCAGTCACCATCTGCAGTGATTTTGGACCCCAAGAAAATAAAGGCTGTCATTGTTTCCACTTTTCCTCCCGTTTATTTGCCATGAAGTAATGGGACTATATGCCATGATTTTTTTGAATGTTGAGTTTCAGGCCAGTTTTTTCACTCTCCTCTTTCACCTTCATCAAGAGGCTGTTTAGTTCCTCTTCCCTTTCTTCCATAAGGGTGATAGCATCTCCCTATCTGATGTTATTGATTGCAAATCTGGTGGTGCTACAGCAGTTAGGAAATAGATGAGGGGAGTAGTAGTTCTTTTGGGTGAAGGGTGAGAACACCGAACATGTGTTAAGTTTTGAGCATTTTGGATTTAAAGTAGAAGACACAAAAGAAACAAAACTGCCCTCCAGAAGTTTCAGTGGGTACTTCAGCTTTTAAGATTCTCACTATGAACTTAGAACAAAATAGGTTATCTGCGGGTATAGCTAAAGCCACTAGGGATAGAGGCTTTCTCCACTCAGGAAGTTCTGTTCTTAATGTGCCATGGTGGTTCAGACAGTAAAGAATCTGCTTGCAATGCAGGAGACCGGGGCTAGATTGCCGTGTCGGGAAGGTCCCCTGAAGAAGGAGATGCCTACCCACTCCAGTAATCTGGCTTGGAGAATTCCATTGACAGAGGAGCCTGGTGGGCTAAAGTCCATGGGGTCGCAAAGAGTCAGACACAACTGAATGACTAACACTTCCACTTCAAACCACACATCACCTTAAACAGTAATTGCCTGTCTGCTTTTCCTGCTAGAATATAAACTCCTAAGAGCAGGAAAATATATTCCTGGCTCATAATAGCCAATAAATATTTGATAAATGAATGAATTTAATTTCTTTGGGCTTAGTAATACTATCCCTATCTATCTTCTATACTTGCCTATATTCTATATAGTATATTCTACATATACTAGCCTATAGCATTGTTAAGATCAAATATGAAAATTCTTTAACACTGTCCAAACATTGTTTTCATTACTATTTTACTTTTAATATTCTACTTCACCAATAAAGATGAGTGGGATACATGACTGTGGATTGGGAAAAATCAAATACCAGAATTATAATTGTTTGCCTTTCTAAAAAAATAAAGAAAATAAAAATAGTGAATATAAGTAAAAAAAAAAAAAAGAAATCAAGGAAAATATTTTAGCCATGGTATCTTCTGCATGTGACTTAAATAGAAAAAAGATTCCGTTTTGATTGGAGGGATTTTTGTCTCAGCAAATGGAAATAGGGCTAGATATGACCAAAAAGTTACATAGGAAGTGGCTTATTTAGAACCCAAGTATAAGACAGGGTTGAGGACTGCTTCTTCACATGCTAGAGAGTACTAGGTTAAAACTATCTTAGCCTCATGCGCGCTTTACTTGTAACAGAAACGTATTCAAACAAAACAATTTACTGGAGAGAGTAACAGAGTTTCCAAGAGCAGGAGGTAAAATTGGATCTCTTAAGAGGTGGATACAAGGAACTAGAAGCTAGGAACCAAGACTCTCCCCCATCTCTGGGTTTCCTATTTACACTTATATCCGTATATCTGCTTTTTTCTCTGTTTAAGATACACTCTTCATTAGTGAACATTGGTAAAAAATGGCTTCCTCAGCCCTAAAATATCTTCAGTGCCTATTCCCCACTGACTTTTAGACTTGGTCCTAGTTTCATATTCCTAGAGAGAATATCTTACTGGCCTAATTTGCCCCAGGTCTCCATTTTTGGTCTAGTCAGCTGTGGTGGGAGAGGAGGGGTCATGCAGATAACTCAAAGGCAGCAGAGCTCTATGTGATGGGGGATCTAGCACGTTATAGACATGTTATACGAGCTGGCAATGTTAGGACAAACACTTAAACCAGTTTCAGCCAGACTATGGAATATCCTCTGTAGTTTCACAAACCAGGTTGAACATCAGAAGCACCAGGAAGGCTTTTGAAAAGATACAGATTCTTCAAGCCGGTGAATTAGAATCTCTAGATGCAGGGCCTAGGAATCAACATTTTCAAAGAACCCCAGATTACGATGTGACTACTTTTGGGAACTCCTGCTTTAAAAGACAAGCTTAAATGTCAAGCAAACAAATACATCAACAGAAATGGGAAGTTATTCATAAATAAGAAACATTCCTATATATGATAAACAGGGAAGGTTTGTTTTTTTTCTGGAGAGCAAATTACTTTCTTTAAAATACAGTTTTATTTTCTGATCATAAAAATCAGAAATGTTTATTAAGAAAAAGATTCTCATTTTAGACATGCTAGTCTTTCAGACTTTTGTCTAAGTACGTATGTATAAATATTTTTGTTTTACAAAATTAGCACCGTAAAGTATATGTACTATTTCGTAGCCTATTTTATTCACTAAAAATAGATCATGAGTATTTTCATATGGCAATAAGGACTGGTCTACTCAATTTTCAGTGGTTGTACAACATTTCAATCTATGGTTGCATAATTGATTTAACTAATCCCCTATTGTTGGGACATCCCCCACCCCATAATGTTTAATGAGTGGAATTATTGGGTTAAAGTTTATGAACATTTTTAAGGCTTTTGATACATATTAAATAGCTATTTGCCCCTCTCCAACTGTCTCCCAGTTTATATTCTCTCTAAAAGTATTTGAGAGTACCTGTTTTTCTACACCTGCAATGGACTACCTGGGATTTTAGTTTCATTCTATCCAGATTGCACATACCCCTTTACAGTAAAACTTGGTCCTTAAATTGAATACATGACTACAATAGAGGCCTTGTGCAGTGAGAGATGTCGTATATAAATAAAGGAAGGCAAGAAGACTGCATTATTCTTTAGATGAGAATAATGCTAAAGTTTCTCATAGGTCTGTTATAAATAAGAGGAGTGACTGAAGATCAGATCACCATAAAATCTTATCTATATTAAGCAGCTTTCTAATTGGAAACTTGGCTTATAAGCTAAACTTGGCTTATAAATCAAATTAGAGAGGTAGAGAGGAAAAGAATACTTGGGGGCATTCCTGCCTTAGAAGAGCAGATGTGCTCATTTCTGGTATAAGATCTGTCAACTACAAATTGGCACTTACCAAGAGCATTGCCAATGACTGAACAACAAAGGCATTTGCCATCTGCCTCTGCGGAGACTGAACCCTATGCTGCTGCTATAGCTGTTGATCTTCAACAACCCCTGAGGGAGTTCAGGGTGCAGTGAGGCACTCTGTGCTCCAGGGAATCTGATGGGACAGGTCTTTAGATAGTTGGATATTTTTTTCAGTTTCAGTTCAGTCCTCAGTCTTTGAGACCTTATGAGCTGCAGCACACCAGGCCTCCCTGTCCATCACCAACTCCCGGAGTTCACCCAAACCCATGTCCATTGAGTTGGTGATGCCATCCAAACATCACATCCTCTGTCATTTTTAGGAACAGACTGTTTAGGTACGGATGTTTTTAGGAACAGATTTTATGATCTCAACCCTTGCATCTCCTCATATCTAGAGAAGCACTAAATCCCTTCATGGTGATATCAGATCCTCATGACTAACAAAAAAGCCTTTTGTAAAATGAGTGCTTTATGGTATTGAACTCCCCCTTCACCAAAACCTTATATATTTCTTTCTCCCACTGCTGCTTTGGAGCAGACTCTCAGAGCTATCTGAGATGCTGCCTCTCGGGCTGCAGTCCTCATTTTGCCCCAAATAAAAGTTAACTCACAACTCTCAAGTTGTACATCTTTTTTTAGTCGACAGATCTCATATACTGTAGTTTAAAAAGGTATGGTAGATCACAATGAGACCATTTTACACCCATTAGGATGGCTAAAATAAAAACAATAGCGAAAGGATGTGGAGAAGTTGGAACCCTCATATACTGCTGGTGGCACAGCCACTCTGGAAAGTAGTGTGGCAGTTTCTCAGTAAATTAAACATAAAGTTGCCATATGGCCTAGCGATTCCACTCCTTCAGATAGGTCCTCTGTTTTCCTAAATGCTGTCCTCTGGTCATGAGCAGGTGAGGATCTGTTTAGCCAAAATAAGCAGGCTGCCTCAGAACTTCCCATGGGGAAAAGTGAAATCTGATTCTTCTCCTTTCTTCACTTAGTCTCTAGGTTGAGAACTCCAAGCAGTAAGAGACACAGGATAAGAATGGGAAAGATGGAGCCTTTTTGAGAGTCTACTCCTCTGCTAAATGCCATTTTGAAGGGAAAAAAGAAGTCAAATGGATATTTCCAGTCAATTCTGGGTTGGCCTCTTGGAGGCTCTGGCTTCTGGGTAATGTCCACAAAAGTCACCACAGTTGTCAAAGGTACTTCTGTTTCGGGCGGGGAATCCTGCAGGAAGAATGTCCATGACAGGTCAGTGCTTGGCACCCATTCAAATAGCCCTCCAATTTGAATGTTATTATTACTTCCCTGAATAAAGACCCATAACAAACTGCTATGTAGTTCTCTTTCGGAGACACAGGAAATTAACTACTTAGCAACAGTTGCACCAGAATTGTGACCACTTAACCTACCAAAAGACTAACTCCTACCAAAAGACTAACTTCCCCTTGGGAAGCTGGCCTGATAACAGAGAAGCCACTGCTTCTGTTACATGTTTGGCAACTCTACCTTATCATGTCCCAAATGGCTCCAGGCTCTGAAACAGTATACATGTACTAGTGTATGTAGTAGTAGCAATTTTCTTCCTTCTTTAGTTGTAAAAAGAAACATTAAACTTCATGGAAAAGGCAAAGAACTTCAGCAATGTAGATTCAAAAAAAAATCTGATTCACACAATCTCAGGGTTAGAAAGGATCCTCCTAACCACTCACCAATCTAAGTCAAATGAAAACGATGCTCCCAGGAAAAGGGACCTTGTCAAGCTGACTCAAGTATCTAATCTAGTAGATGTAGCTTTGGGTAGATATGGTTGCAGCCTGAAGACTGGAATCATGTTTATCTAAACTGAATTAATTCCCTTTGTTCCAACTCTGTTCACCAGGCAAACTTTTGATTATAATTTGACAGTAAGTAACTATCTTGTTTCTGTCTTCCTTCACTCTGATGCCACATATTATCTCAGCTTTGGCCTTTGGCAACAGTAAATGTCAGGTTCTAGGAACATAATTTTGCTTGATATAACCCTTCTATAGATATTTTAAAAATGAATATGGGGCCAGTGCTGTGATAATTTTGCATGTCATACTAACTCTTTGGGCTTTTTTTTTTTTAAACAATGAAGTTCATGCAGGGCTTGGTATACAATTAATGTAACTTCTGTGGCTCTGAAAGACCCACATGCATTCCAAGTACAGCCAGCTTAGGCTGAAGATGTCAAGGGCTTCCTGATTCCAGCCAGGCACTGAAGACTGGCTGAGACTAACCAGATTAAAAAAACAGGGAGGAGTTTATTACTGAAGAATAAGCAATAAACTTTCTTTAGACTGTAACTTACCAATGGATTTCCTGTTCAGACTTTAATTTTTCCCTAGGAACTTCATAATGGGGAGAGGAAGTATATTCAATTTTTGGAGCAAATCTTTTGCAGTTGACATTACTGAAATATGTTAATACTGTTGTTTAACCTCACTGCAGAATGACTGATGAGCTATATAAGCTGGGATGGCTAGAAATACTTTAGGATGGAAAATAGAAGAGAGAATGAATTTTCTGCCTTGTGTTCAGTGTTACCTAAGAATTGATTTAATTAATGTGTTGTTCTGACTCATTTCAGAGCCTTTGGGGGAGGGCAAGTTTTAAACTGCCCACAAGCAGGAGGAGTTGTGGTTAAAACTGGGGTACTGAACTCATAATGGAAGAGTGCAGTTATACATTAGGAAGCTCCCTGCTGCACACTCAAGTCATATCCACCTGCCTAGTGTTTATTAGTGATAAAGCTGGAATTCTGATCTCCATCTGACTCTTTTTAATTGGTTTCAAACTCAGGTAGGGAAGTGTCATCAGCTCCTGCAAACTCTCAAATCAGGGAACTTTTGGTCATTCTATGAACTTGAGGTCATTCTATACTGAGAACAGATCTTTAAGATAGCTATGAGCCCAAGAAAGCAACTTTTAGGTTCATGTCTGAAAGTGAAAGTTGCTCAGTCATGTCCGACTCTTGCGACCCCATGGACTGTCCATGGAATTCTTTAGGCCAGAATACTGGAGTGGGTAGCCTTTCCTTTCTCCAGGGGATCTTCCCAACCCAGGATCGAACCCAGGTCTCCCACATTGCAGGCGGATTCTTTACCAGCTAAGCCACAAGGGAAGCCCAAGAATACTGGAGTGGGTAGCCTATCCCTTCTCCAGTGGATCTTTCCAACACAGGACTCAAACTGGGGGCTCCTGGTTTGCAGGTGGATTCTTTACCAACTGAGCTATCAGGGAAGCCATCTACTTAAATATATAGTTAAGTCTACAGTGGTGTTTCATGGCTGGGAAATCCTGCATATTTTTTGTAAAAGTTCTTTGAATTGGGTTGCTTTTTACAGACTCACTCAGGATATAGGCTCATCAAGAGCTATTAAACTTGATTTTAGGATGACAATGTAAAGGTATGTCTTCTTTCTATATATCTTAAAACCACTCTAATAAGAAACAGATACAAAACTCCATCTTCACTGAAATGGAGAGATAACATAATACATGAATACAGAAAATAGATGGAAGCAAGGTTTCACAGAGGGTTAGAAGGCCAAACCTAAAAGCCTTCAGAAACTAGAAGACGATCTCTGTAGAACCCTGACTCAGTAATAGGAGATAAGAGGGAGGTAGGGATGAGGCAGGGATTAGAACATGATTACTGAGTGATTCCTCCTCAATGAAATCAGACAACCACTCTTTCCCTGTTTCAACAAGAGACTGGAAAATTTAAACCAGAGAAATTCTAGATTTCAGGATATATAGAAAGGACAGAGTGAAGGATGAAACAAAAAATAGGGAAATTACTCTGTATAATGAAATACCTTGCCCCAGTCTGGCTTCAAAATGCTGAGAGATGCTCTTATCCACATACCCTTTAGTTAGGAGCCAGCAGGGTTGTTTTGTTATTTTTTTTCTTGAGAAAAGTAATAGTCCCAACAAAAAGACAAAAAGATACTGACATCTGGCAGTCCTATAATCTTGTAAAGGCCTAATTGGTACAAAAACATAAACAGCAGAGTACCATGTAAATATACTATTTACTTAATGGCTTTGTTGTGCGAATTCAATACTTATTTAAAAAATACTTATAAGAAATATTACCAGTGCCTGTCATATAGTAAATGTTCAATAAATATTTTTCTATTATTATTATCATACAAGAAGATGTAAGTCTACACAATGTTTTGCTTAAATTCTTCATTTTGTAGTTTGCTCTTGGGAACATTCCAAAAATTTTGCTATTTTACTTTTTGTAGTGAGAGGAACTTAAAGTGTTTCCAAAGCTACATTTATACAATGAAAAGTCATTTTGACAGTTCAGTTCAAACTTCAGACAGCCTTCACTTCAAGGTGTAGAAACACAAATACCTACCAGCCTAAGCAGATAACCTAAATGAGAGAAGTGGGGCAGGTAAGGGTGGGTAGCTGCAGGCTGTGTGAAGGAAGTATTTTATTAGTGGCAATCACCATTCAGTATGGCTTCCCTGATATCTCAGTTGATAAAGAATCCACCTGCAATGCAGGAGCCCCTGGTTCGATTCCTGGGTTGGGAAGATCCACTGGAGAGGGGATAGGTTACCCACTCCAGTATTCTTGGGCTTCCCCTGTGGCTCAACTGGTAAAGAATCCGCCTGCAATGTGGGAGACTTGGGTTCGATCCCTGGGTTGGGAAAATCTCCAGAAGAAGGGAAAGGCCACCCAAGTCAGTATTCTGACCTGGAGAATTCCATGTGTATAGTCCATGGTGTCGCAAAGAGTCAGGCACAACTGAATGACCTTCACTTTCACCATTCAGTGGCAGATTTTATGCCATGAAGGAGTGTAGGATCTCTTATCACCAGATTTTTCAAGACAAGTCAGAGATCTGGATGTCAAGGTAAAATTTCTTGATTTTTAAATGCTGACACAAATTAAAAAAAAACAAAATCTTTGCAAATCAAACAAACCAGTCTACAGACTAAACAGGCCACAGGCTGCTACTCTGCTACTCAGCTTTAGTTTTATGCCATTATTCAGACACACTAAGCTGACTGACACAGCCTGGGTGAGACCACTGTCAACTACAAACGTTCAAAGGATGGCCCGTGGGGTCATCTTCTGCGGAAGAACTGCAGAAGATATACCTTCAGCAAAATATCTCCTTAATTAGCTCCTCCTTTTATTACTTTAGACACTTTGGAACATGTATACTAGTTTTCTTTGAATAGGCTCTTGCTATGATGAGAAAAAATTGCACAGGAAGTCCTGAGAGACAAGCCTTGCGGATAAAGGGAAGTGATTTAAAATTAAGGACAAATAATCAGTATAAACACATAAAGAAAAAATGAGTGCCTATGTGACTTCAGGAGAATATTTCCATTCAACACTGCAGTAAAAAAAATTTCAATACAGATGATAAAACTGTCTATTATAGAAAGAATTATTTGCATTTGCTTAACTTTTTGTGATATGACACTATTGATTTATAACTCCTCCTACAAGGGCATAGTATCTTTCATGGAAGTGAGCTTCTCAAGTGAACATTTTTGTATAGTCAAAATTACCTTTGCAAATCATTTAAATCACACTAAGTAAAGACACATGATTTGGTATATCCCAAACCACCCCTCAAAATTAATAAATTCAACAGAGTTAATTTTTGCTCCACCACTGGAATAGAAACTCTGTCTTCAGTTATACATGAATGAAGCACAGCTGGAATTCTCAGCTGTCAACCACTTAGGACAGTTAGATGTGAATGACTGTAAGTGTGATTTTGTAGAGGGACAGACTAACCTGAAAAGCTAACCTCTACTAAATACTAGAAAAATACAATGATTAAAAATACCTGGAAAAGACAGAGGCACTGGGTAGCTTCAATGCCCAAGAGAACCAGAGATTCAGGAAAATAAAAAGAACAATCCTGTAGGTATCTTCCCAAACTACACAGGTATTCATGAATAAAGATACAGTTCATAAATATAAAACAATAGATTCAGTGCCATATCTGTAACAGGTTAAATGAATCTTACAGAAAGAGTTCTGTTTTATTCAGTAAGTCAACACAGAAAGAACAGAACGTTCACATTAATAGTTTCTGGTAACGAGTTTGGACACATTTATAGGCATAAAGAGCTAAGGTGCTCAACTTGTGTGAGGGAAGAGGTATTTTACTTCTGACTTAAATGTAGTCTCTAGTTTCTTTTTCTGGGAGGTAAAAATCAATGACTTACAGGTAACAATTTCAATTAGTTTTAATTTCCATTAAAAAATAATAATCTGGCATGCCAGTTCATACATGAAGTTCACCAGGACCTAATCATTTTATTTTTGAACTTCCCTTAGCTGTAGGCGGTTGCTAAAATTGTCCTAAGGCGCATCATAAATAGCAGGTATGTGTTTACTACATATTAAAATTATTTATTTTAATGGAGTGCAATCAGCCAAGAATTGATGATTACAAACTAGCCACAGTAACTTTAACAGCAACCAACAGGCGTGGAGACTAACAAATGTGTGACTGTCATTGAATATACAGGTATAGAATATCTTTTCTGTGGTTGAATCAAACAGTGTATAGTAATTATAATAAGATAATTTAAAACAAAGTAACCTATACTGTAGTCATGAAGTTTAAAAAAACACAGGGAAAAAATATAGATTGTATTTACCATGAAATGTGTTAATTTCAGTAACCAGGCAGGGAGGATCTACTTGAAAGTTAATTGTTTCAGCTCATTCTGACCAAACATTAGAATTTTGGCTGGTAGCATAAACTGACTCTCAGGAAGTTAAAAAATTAACTGGTCATCAAATGACTGATATAATAATCAAGGCTTTTCAAGACTTACCTGTATGGACTGGAATTGGTATAGAAATCGGGCTCCTGACACATGAGCTTGTGGGTTGGATTGGAGGCCTATATATGCCCACAGAATCTGGATCTCCAGGGAAACTGGTATGACACAGCAGGAAGTACAGTGCATTGCCTGCAGGAGAGTAAAGAGGCATTTGATGTAATTGCTGATGGTTGCCTATAGTTATTAATATTTACCATGCATTAAGTAGCTGTTGTTTCTTAAACATTACATAATAACAGAGAAGACAATGTGGCTTAGGGAAAGGACACAAAAGTTCATAAGAGGTCATATTATTGTTCAGTTCAGTTGCTCAGTCATGTCCGACTCTTTGCGACCCCATGGACTGCAGCATGCCAGGCTTCCCTGTCCATCACCATATCCTGGAGCTTGCTCAAATTCATGAAGTCGGTGATACCATCCAACCATCTCATCCTCTTGTCGTTCCCTTCTCCTCCCACCTTCAGTCTTTTCCAGCATCAGGGTCTTTTCCAATGAGTCAGTTCTTCGTATCAAGTAGCCAAAGTATTGGAGTTTCAGCTTCAGCATCAGTCCTTCCAATGAATATTCAGGACTGATTTCCTTTAGGATGGACTGATTAGATCTCCTTGCAGTCCAAAGGACTCTTAAGTGTCTTCTCCAACACCACAGTTCAAAAGCATCAATTCTTCGGCACTCAGCTTTCTTTATGGTCCAGCTCTCATATCCATACATGACCACTGGAAAAACCATAGCTCTAACCAGACCTTTGTTGATAAAGTAATGTCTCTGCTTTTTAATATGCTGTCTAGGTTAGTCATAGTTTTTCTTCCAAGGAGCAAGTGTCTTAATTTCATGGCTGCAGTCACCATCTGCAGTGATTTTGGAGCCCCCAAAATAAAGTCTCTCACTGTTTCCATTGTTTTCCCATCTATTTACCATGAAGTGATGGAACTGGATGCCATGATCTTAGTTTTCTGAATGTTGAGCTTTAAGCCAGCTTTTTCATTCTCCTCTTTCACTTTCATCAAGAGCCTCTTTAGTTCCTCTTTGCTTTCTGCCAAAAGGGTGGTGTCATCTGCATATCTGAGGTTATTACTGTCCATAATCTTAAAAAAGATAATATTCTAAAATGGAAATACTAAAATATAAAATAAAATGGAAATACTAACATAGAAATAAATAAAACATAAATAAGCCCATGTACGATGGTTATAAGAAGTGCTCAGTGAGTGGTGGAGTCGCTATTGTGGAATGCCAGAGCAGCAGCCATTTCTGGTTGAGGATGGCTTCATAGAACCGGGATGAGTAATATGTGATGGAGGAAATGGTGTTTAAAGGAAAATTTAGGTAGAGAGATGGCACATCAAATGGTATGCAACTAGAATAGCACATGATGCCTTTGAGGGGCAGTTACTGATTAAGTACAGTGGTTACTGTCTCCTATGTGCCAGGCATGTGTGAGGCACTGGCCCTGAGGAGACCACTTGAGTGAAGCAATGGATCTGAATGCATGAACAGGGGAAAGATTAAGGAAGGATGTTTCAGGGTTAGATTATGAAGCCCAACTAAGCAGTCTGACTCCAGGACAATTAATTCTAAGATGCAGGAAGGACTGGTGGAAGTGAGGACATAAATCAGGAAGTTATAATAACTTAGCAGAAACAAACTATCCTCAAATATGCCTTGCTTTTCTAACTTCACACTTTTTGTTTATAGTAAGACTTAGACATAGGCAATAACATGTCTAAACTAGGAGTAGGGGAAGACAGACCATGTTTATGTTCAATTTATTAAGGAACTGTCAAACTCTTTTCAAATTGGCTCTACCATTTTGTAGTCCTACCAGCAATGTCTGAGGGTTCCAATTTCTCCACATTGCTGCCAACTCTTGTTATTATCCCTTTTTAAAATTGTAGCCATCCCAGTGGGTGTGAATTGGTATGTCCTTGTGGTTTTGCATTTCCTTAATGGCTAATGATGTTGACTAACTAATGACCTTTTCATGTGTTTGTTCCAAATATTTTAGAACAGTTTTCCTTTCATTTATCCTATCTATATTAGGAAAATTTTTCCATGTTATCAAATATTCTACAAAAATGTGATTTAAAAATGTAAACAGTAGGTTTAAGAATCATAAAGAGTAAATTCCGCTATAATCTCAATCCTGGTCACTAACCATTTCTTAATACTCAGCTATGTATCACCCCAAACCACATTCCCCAGGTATGGCTTTATGAGGTTTAAGAAAACTTAATTTGACTACAGTTGTCCAAAGGCTGGATCAAGTACGTGTATCTACTTATCCCCCAAGTCTCACTAAAAGTATACAAGGAATAAAGTCATATAGTGCTGAGAAAGGGAAAGGGGGCACTTTAAAAAATCTTAGAGGAAAGGCCTTTCAAAGTCTGAACCAAAATTCAAAAGTTGAAAAAAAAAAAGACTGATAAATCTCACAATATAAAAATCAATTTCTGTATGGCATAAAAACCATAAACAAAGTCAAAAGACAAATGACAAACTGGGAAATAATATCTACAAATCACATAACAGAAAAGAGACAATTTCTCACATACTCAAAGATTTTCTACAAGTCATAAGACTAGTAATTCAATAAAAATGGGCAAGAGATATAAACAAATCATAGTGAAGAAAATAAGAATTATTCAACTGTATGTCAAGATACTCAGCCTTACTCACAGTAGGAGAAAAAGAAAACTACAATGGGATACTATTTTTCATTTATCAGATAAGCAAAGATTAAAAGCTTGATAACCCAGTATTGAGGAGCGTATAGGTAACAAGCCATCCCACAGATGGATAGTGGGGCTATAAATAGGTACAACCTGTATGGGAAATAAATTTGCAATATTTATTAAAAATTTAAATGCATATACCTTTGGATCTAGCAATTCTACTTCTAAGATTTTTCATATAGGGGCTTATTTTCACATGTACAAAATTGTGCCTGAACCAGGTTATAAAATGCTACACTGTGTATAACAGCAAAAGGCTGAAAACAACCTGAATGTTCTGCCTAAATAATTTATGCTTTATCTATATAGTGGAATAAAATGCAACTATACCATGCAAAGGATGAGGAAGCTTATTATATACTGATATGGAACAAACTCTCAAGATCAAGTGAAATAAGCAAAGTGCAGAGCAGTATTTATGATCTTATATCATTTGGATTAAAAAAAGATAAGTATGTACTTGTGTAAGGAAGGAAAGAAAGAAATAACTCTGCCTCTGTGGAAGGGAAGAGCTGTCTGAGAAAGAGTTTTATTTTTGTACTTTTGGAATGTTAAGCCAAGTATATATATTACTTATACAAAAAATAAAAAGCTTAAGTGAAAGGAAATAAAATTAAAGATACAGTTGATTAAAGCCAGGAGGGAAAGTGAAAGTGAAAGTCACTCAGTCGTGTCTGACTCTTTGTGACCCAATGGATTATATAGTCCATGGAATTCTCCAGGCCAGAGGGGGCAAAAGAGGAAGTAGATTTCTTTCTTTTGACACACAAATTTTGCTATTTTACTTAGACTGGAATCAAGAGGTACACCAGCTGAGCACTGATGTCGTGGCCACTGGAAAGAGTAAAAACAGAAAGAGCTGAATGAGATTTCGTCAGGGGTAGTGGGTATTGAAGTTTTTATTTTTCGCTAATACTGTTCTCTAGACCTTCTACCTTGAGATTTTTCTCTAAGTAAGGAAAGTTATATATATATACCTGACCTGAAATGATGACTTCAGATGGCCATGATTTCTTACAGTCTTTCTTTCTTTTAGGACAACCACATTATCTTTCTTCTGTGACAACCAAACCAACTATGGAAACAGGTCTGGTTTTAATCTTAATAAATAAAGGAGGAAAGTAAGCTTTTGTCAGAATGTGCATTTCTTTCCTTACTGAAACACTGTAGTTCCTGCTGAGGATCCCGGTCCACTCTCCCTTCTGGGCTGGGTCAGCATTTCCAAAGATGGCAATGTGCTCTGGTCTGGGACTTCCATGAAGAGTCTGATAAATCTCCTGCTGCAAGTGGCTGCAGTCCACCCTTTTCAGCCTGAAATGAAACACCACAGAGCCTGGAGTCCAATGTTAACATCATAATGTAATTCAGTCAAACATTAGAAATAATATCAAAAAATAAATTGTGGGAAATAACCCTTCATAGGTATAAAAGACTCAAAACAAAAAAAACCCCAAAAAACCTCTTAGCAATATTATTATTTAAAGACTATTCCTAACATTCTCTGAACCCTAATTCAAAATATAAAAGTTGCCACATCATATATTCCCTACAGGTAGAGATAAATATGTTAGAAATGATGTGGAAGCGAAGAATTACCTGAGCTTGCATCCAGATATTGCATTCACTCCAAATTGTACTTCATGTCTCTTAATAGCGCAAGTTCCATCACCCTGGCTCTGTAAGAGGGTCATCTGAGGTGGAAAGTGATGGTCAAGGAGATCATAAAAGAAAAAGTAAGCTGATTGGAAAATGTATGCTTCTTAATATTTGCTTAACACTATTGGTACTTTACTAATACCATGATATTATTCAAGTAACATTTTTGTTTCCCTCTGGCAATGAAAACAGAGAGAATTGTTTTTCCAAAAATGACCATATACCTTAAATATCTCATTAAAATAAACACAATTAAGTCAGGATCCTCACCTTCAGCCAGTCTAATATAAGTTCTAAAGCCTTTGATAGCATCTGTGTTTGAGAACATAATACATTAATAGTTCGGTAAAGGAAGTCCTCGGGGCTTCCCTAGTGGCTCAGTGGTAAAGAATCTGCCTGCCAATGCAGGAGACATGGGTTTGATCCCTGGGTCAGAAAGATCCCCTGGAGAAGAAAATGGCAACCCACTCAAGTATTGTTGCCTGGAAAATCCCATGGACAGAGGAGCCTGGCAGGCTGTAGTCCATGGGGTCTCAAGAGTCAGATACAGCGACTAAACAACAACAAAGGAAATCCTCAATACCTAAAAAATGGGGGAATCACAGAATTGGAAAATCCAAAAGACCAGTAACTAAAGCTTTGCTCATTAGGCTGCAGTAGGCCACCCAGATACCCAAAAAGGATACTGAGTGTCTTATATCACCACTTAGAACCAGGAGTGGCTTTCCGACAATATAGCCAGGATTCCCACTTCTAGACCCGGTAAGAGAAGCAGCTGTGCTCTGTTGGAAAGCCTGCAGAAAGAGTGAAGGGAAGTCAATATGGAGAAAGTCATGCTCTCACTTTTCCAATGTGGCCCCATACCCTTCCTTAGGGCAATGCTGCAGGTTAGCTGCACTGAACAATCTGGCTTCCTTCCACAGTATAGCATTTTGCAAAAATTGCTCCTCCAGCATCTTTTACTTTTTTTAATTCACTAAAATAAATCCTTATTCACATCCATCTAAACACTACTTCTACCAAGGATTGCAACTAAAGATCTATCAAAGATTTCTCAATCCTGTTTTCCAAAATTACTATTAACTCAGGGCTATGTTCAGTGTAGCCAGAACCAGAGGAGTTTAAATGTAATTCAGAACTATATTTTAATTAACTATAGATGTTCCACAGATGAACTCTGAGTGACATGGGATCTGGTGAATCATTTGAGGGTACAGTTGAGAAGAAACTGGACTCTGCTGTGTTCAAAAGGAAAGAAAGTAGAAGAAAGTCAAAAGGTGGTGATCAAGACTAGAAACTTAGATTAAGCGGGACATGAATAAAATGCTGAATGCCCAGAAACATGAAAAAAGCTAGTTAAAGAATTTGTGTGGGATGTTAGCTGAGTTTATGATTCAAAATGACTATTTTAAAAAAGTGTTTGGATTTGTGAGTGAAGTCCTGCTTTGCTGGGGGAATATGCTAATGAATAAACATTGCTGAATCCTTATCACTCAAAGTTAAATTACAGAATGTTAAATGTTGAGACTTCAGTTAACAGACTGAACTAGGTCTTCATATTCTTATTCTATCTTGCATGTATTACAGAAGCAGGGGAACTATTTCTAACCCATACTTCTTTCTTCTTGGTCCCCTATAAGAGAAGAATCCTAACCCTGAAGTGAATGATGAAATCTTGCTGTAATGAAGTGCCTGGCTCAACAGTCAGGTTCGTTTGTCCAAAACTGACGGACACTTTCTGGATTCCAAAAGTCCCATTGGTTTCTATCTCATAGATGACCTGAAATACAAAAGTAGAATCAATTAATAAAAAATATTTTGTGGGCCAATTATGTTTAGGACAAATTTCTTGTCTTTAAGGGTTTTACTATAACTGAATAAGGGAACAAAATGGTGACTATAGTTAACAATACTGCATTGTGTATTTGCAAGTTGCTAAGACAGCAGATTTTAAAAGTCTTCATCACAAGAAAAAAAATTGTAACTATGTGTGGTGATGAATGCTAACTTATTGTGGTAATTGTTTCACAGTATATACACATATCAAATCATTATGCTGTACACCTAAAACTAATTTATATATCAATTATATCTAAAGTAAAAAAATAATTGGATGAGGGAGACTAAAAGTGTTATCTTAAAAATGCCAAATACAAATACTATGAAAAGATAAAAGTTGACTTCATATTATATCTACACATGAAAAAAGAAATTGAATAGAGCTCTTTGAAAGAGTTCATGGGAGGGGTGAATTTATGGTAAGAATTGAAAGGAAAGAAACATAAATTTTGACTGCATGCAGAGAAAGTGAGTAGGAGCACAGGCAGAAGTGAACATGGAATGGAAATCTGGTTTACTCTGCTTTCACCATATCTGAGGATGAGTTAAGATGGTAGTTGGAGATGGAAGTCATAAAAAGGTAAAGGTAACCTTAGATTTCTGAGCATAGGTTTTAAAATGATGCTTTCCAATAATTCTTACTTTTATTTGTTGATTAGAAGAGAGAGAACAGAGGAAAAGAAGTTGACTAGTCTATTTCAGACTTTCAGATGATACTGATTTTGTCAACAAAAGAAATCGTGGTCAGTAAAAACTGGAACAGATTGCACATGGGCAAAGAAAGAAGAATGATAAATAATCTTAATATCCTGGACATGAAATGACAGAGGACAGTAACAATGGAAACGACTTAAACACATTGGGAGGTAGGTGATGGGCTCAGTTTTTGACATGTTAAGTTTCAGATAATGCACAAAAATTCACATGGGGTTGGTCTGGTACTTAATGGAAGATGAAGCACCTCTCGTAATGCTGATCAACATACATTAGTCCAGAATCTGACGTCAGCATCCCTACCTGGGAAACAACATTCTGACAAGTGTTTCCAGCCAACACAGGAGAGCCAGCCTGTGAGACAGGTGTTACAGGCACCTGGAACTGGAAAGGGAAAGAGGCAGAAGAAAGCATTTCCTCTTCTAGCTTATGTATTATGCTGAAATGAGTATTTTTCCTTTTTTGACAATCACCTTCCTTTCTCCTTCCATTGCCAGTCTACAACTTAAGGTCAAAAGTCATTGTTACTCAACACTTCCCAAATGTATTTTTGGGAACATTACTTGTATTAGATATAAAACAAAGGCTCCTCGGTCAAATAAGTTTCAGAAATACTGTATGCGACACGTCCCTTTTAGAGATTGAGAAGGCTTTCTAGTGTATTAAAAACTTTAAGAACTTCATCCTAAATATAAGGTTTAACTTTATTTAACCCAAAGTTTCTTAAACTTAGCTAATACCTTATGTACTCTTACTTCACATGATATTATACAGAACACACAGACACTGTTTTAGACTCATTCTTGAACAGCTTGACACATCACACATAATTCTCTTTTACCATTACAATCTACAGTGAAACTGCCTCAGATGCAAAGGAATCAAATATTCTCTTTTTCTTTTTCCTGATAAAAAGCATCATACCTCCATGTTCTGCAGATCACTCATACCTCTTGGAACCTAGTATAAGAGAACAGCAAGGACATGAGTGTGCATGTATATCTTACATAAAATCTCCAGGAGCTTGTGGTTTCACGTTTGTGGGAGAGAAAAAAAAAAAAAAATCAACTTTTTTTTTCTACCTGATTCTTCCCTACACTAAAATGCCAAGAGCAGATTGAGGGGAGTCTAGATGGACTGCGATGCCCACCTTCTCTGAGCAGAGCTCTAACAAACAGCAAAAGCAGGAAGTTTTGGTGAAACAGTGATGTCTCCCACTCCTACCTCCCCTAGAGAATTCCATTAACTGGGAGGGTGAGAATCTTTCATCCTGGCTACCTAACCTTACTTCTTTCATCTTCAGATAATAGGGCTTCTTGTCCTTCTGCCTTTTATGTGGCTCTTAGGCATTCTGACTTCCAGTTCAGTGCTTTCCCCACAACCCGAAAGTGGGAAGCATGGTGACTTTTAAGTCCAGTGGTGACAGTGGGGAAAGAAGGGACACCCACCTTCAAGACTGTGAAATTATAGTAAGAGGCAGCATTGAGGGCAGGATCCGAGGTACAACTATCTGCCAGATTCTTGAAGAAACGAGCACAGGTTGTACTTTTACTCTCCAGGAAACCTTAGAATTAAGGGAGCAGTAAATAACAAAGCCTATTTTTAAGTTGAACAAAAAGGGTAGCACTGGTGTTCTGGACTCACCTGCAGGATTGCTCTTAGCACAGAGCCCCCCAGCTCCGACTCCTACAGGCTGCTTCAGCAAGCTTATTACAGACCACTTGGGGAAGTAAGTCAGAATGGGGTCACCAGCCTAAACAAAGTAGAGCAGAAATTTATTCACAGTGAGATTGGACTGAACTCCACCAGAAAAGAATAAGAAACAAAAGTTAACTCAGTAGCTTGTTAATGTGGACAATACTTCCCTCCAAGAAAGCTGACAATGGCTTACCTAGGTAATGGCTAGGTAAAGGTAATGACTTACCTTAACTTTGAGGTGGGCACCTCAAAGATACTAGATCAGTTGTCACTATGAGGGGAAAAGCCAACCAAACAATCCATCCCCTTCCCCAGGCTCACCCTGTAGAAAGGTGATGGTGATTGGGTTTGGGATGTTGAAGTGAATGATTCACCTCCAAACTCTGTAGCCAGGGCCTGGAAGTTGGTTGCATTGACCTTTTGGAGCTTCTGGAGATAGTTTAATCTTGCTAAAATATTTTTTAAAAGAAAGATGGTTTAGATAAAAGAAAATCATTCATTTTTAAGTATCTGAAATACCAAGAAACTAGTCTTTAAAAATAGTTTTATTCAGGCATAAGATATACACAGTAAAGTATGCAAGTGCACTAATCTTAAGCATAAGCTCAAGAATTTTTAAACATTTATACTTTTTTTTACTACCACTCAGATTAAGTTATAGATTTTTCCCAGAAGTTCCCCAATCAATGTGCCATCTTCAGAAACAATAACGATTTTGATTTCTATCACCTTATAGTTTATTTATAATCTGGTAATTGAATTACTGTTTAAGTATTAAGATCTGAGACAAGAATATGACCAATGAGTGCCAGTCAGTTCCAAGTCTCTTATGTCAGGCATATGTTAAGGTTAGCAATCTATGATGAACATAGGAGTCTTGGTAATGTGTGCATCTGTTCCACTCTAAGTGAGTCTCTAGTACCACAAAATGGTACTGTTTTCATAGGAATATGGCAGGGTTCGGGACAATATCTGACTTGTCCTCTCCAAGTCTTCCAGTTTCCTCTATATTTCAACTGACTAGTCCTCATAATAAAGTTTCCATCTTTCAAATATATGGATTTGTCATCTTTTATTCTTTTCACATTATAATTTCTACATTCAAGATTTTTCAAATACCCACCCAAAGGGTATTTTGGTAACAATTCTATAACTTATATTATAGCAATGTACAAATCTTTTCAAACTCTTGCAGCCATCTTCTTATGGCACTTCAGAACCAGGAAAGAGATGCAGATAAAGGCTTCTGACATAGTCTCCTGCCCAGAGCGTGGCTTGTGATGAACAACACTCTGCTTTACCGTCCAAGTTTTCTGCTAACTTGAAAAAAGAATGTAGCAGACAATGGTCCATACTAGTTTCTTTCATTCTTCATAATTATGGTCATTTGAACAGATTCAAAAGGAAATTAAGATTTGCATCTCCAAAAGCTAATATTACATAAGCCTGACCTTTATCCTCTGTGATCATAGGGTCCTAATCACTTGACTTTTCAGCTTTCTGATGGAACAGGAAATGAAGAAAACTCTGAATTGGGCCTTTCACACTACTCACTTTCTGTATATCTCCTAGGTCTGTGTTATTCAGAGTCTGGTGCACAGACTAGCAGCCCCAGCATAACCTGGAAGATTGTCAGAAATTCAGAATCTTAAGACACACTTCAGACCTACTGAATGAGAAAGTGCGTGTTAGCAGGAAGATCTCCCAGGTGATGTGTGTGTGTATTAGAGATGGAAAAATCTGCTCTGTAACAGGTGATGCTAAGTTCCTGGTCTGCAGACTACCATCTTCCATCTCTGATCTGAAATCTTCATATTTTGAAGCTTCCAGAAGCTGTTTAATATACTATTCCTTTCAGAACTCATACCCTGAAAACCACATGGAAGAAATACTTACCTCACTAAAAAAAAAAAAAAAAAAAAATGTAGTTACATCTATCTTTAGAAATGAAAGAAGAAAAGTTAGAGTTAAGCTAAAAAAGAAGTTGAGATAGAAAATATCCATCTGGACATTTTTTCATGGCTTAACTGAGTAAGAGAAAGTTAACCTTTTGTCTCTCACTTCAGTACAGGGATATTGGAGGTAGTGATGGTAAGCAGGAATCATGCACCTAAGGAGCATGGGTAAGGTTATAAATAGAATTTTTGCCTAAAATTTCCAATATCATATATGGAATATTACATATAACAGGGCTTAAAGGTATTTAGACTTAGACTGATACAATTTCAGGTATGGAAGGAGGCCAGAGGTCCTGTGGCCCAATCCCATTAGGATTTTTGGATCCTGGGAGGTAAATGAGTTGCAAAAGGCCACATAGCCATCTGGCAGAGCCAGAAGTAGATCAGAGATCTTCTGATTCCTGGTCTAGGGTTTTCCCCACTTGGTCAATGTTGTACAGTCTCAGTCGAGGGTTTTCCCCACTCGGTCAATGTTGTACAGTTACTGATGGTCATTATCAACAAATATTAAGCACTGTGGACAAATTCATGGTCCATTCTTTCTATGTGCTGACAATTTACCTGGGGAGACACAACATTCATATAAGATGACAGCAATGCAAAGTATTCTGTATGTCCTAAGGGGATTCAAAGCAGGAAGGCCCTCCCCCCCCAAAAAAAGCAGGAAGCCCCAATTTGGATGTTATTGCGATATCCCTGGAGCATTTTCACAAGGCTGGAACTAGAAGGTAATAGGAAATTTGGGAAGTATGGTGTAGCTGCAGCCTTATTTTATACCTTAATTTTTTTGGTCGCGCCTCAAGACATGCAGAATCTTAATTTACTCACCAGGGAATGAATCTGGGTCCCTGCATTGGAAGCACAGACTTTTTACCACTGGACCACCAAGGAAGTCCTGCAAACTTATTTTAAAATGGAGCATTTGCCTTAATCCCTTTATCTTCTCACAAACTAAATGGCAGCAAGGCTCTTGATAACTGCTTCCAAATTGAAGTTCCCCAAACCCAAAACTGGTTGTTTTAGGAAACAAACATAATTTTGCAGTTTATTTTCTAACAGTCAGATGAAACCAGGATAAGCTGACTTCAGAGTATAAGGAACATTTAAGTCTTTTATGTGAGAACATTATTTTTCTTCTTAGACAATAAATTTAAAAAAGATATATCAGATGTATATCTTTAGAAATGTTATCACCAGCAAATTTCTATTTAAAAACTTTAATACCAACTACTTTTCATGTTTATTACACTCTGCAGCTAATAAACTGAGTGCTTTCACATTTAGGATTAGTGATATTTCTCTTTTTCCTGTTGAAGAAATAAGCCTGGAAATGCTAAGGGATTTGTCGAAGTGTGCATGCGTGCTAAGTTGCTTCAGTCATGTCCAACTCTTTGTGACCCTATGGACTGTAGCCTTCCAGGCTCCTCTATCCGTGGGATTCTCCGGGCAAGAGTACTGGAGTGGGTTGCCATGCCCTCCTCCAGAGGATCTTCCTGATCCAGGGATCAAACCTGGGTCTCTTGCAACTCCTGCATAACAGGCAGGTTCTTTATTGCTGAGCCACCAGGAAAGCCCACCAAGTCTGTGCAGGAGTAAGTAGATGGAGAGCTGAGACCCAAGTCAAATGCTCTTTCCCCTGTGCTGTTGCCTCATGAAATAAAAACAAGGTTGATATAGACTCATTTGTCAAAGACATTCATTCAAATATTATTTGTTGCCTCCTATGTCTGGCACTGGGAATTCAGTGAGTGTCTTCATAGAGGTTGTAAGAAGTTGGGGATATAGTTTATCTGTAATTACCTGAGCTAAGAGGGTGGACAGAAATTACAATTTTCTATGGATTTTCTGATCCACAGCCAATAGGGCAAAAGAGATTGCCAATGTTCACCAATAAGAGAAAAAAGAGAGGGTCGGGGGACAGGTAGAGGATAGGAATGATGACCGACATCCAATGGGAGGAAAAAAGGTTTAAAAAACAAAGAAAAGGAAAAAAAAAAAAAGGTCGGGGGACAGGTAGAGGATAGGAATGATGACCGACATCCAATGGGAGGAAAAAAGGTTTAAAAAACAAAGAAAAGGAAAAAAAAAAAAAAGGAAAGGAAAAAGGTCAGAGACTAAGCTAACTCTCAACAAATGTTAGGCAATACAAATAGCCAACATATTTCTACTCACAATTGTTCACATGGACACAAAACTGCTTGATTCCATTTGAATCCATGAAAACTCTTGAAGGAAATGGGGAATTACTCCTGAAGATAAGAGAGTTGTCTACGCACACCCAACTTGAAGACCTATGAGGAAACCGGAGGAAGAACAGGTACATTTAGAAGGAAGGTTATATCCAAAGAAGGGTGCCCCACCGCTGTCTGTCAGATGCCAAAAAGATTACTCCTTGGGCAGCCACGGGACAACACGAAGGTTCTGTTCTACTGGGCAGCCGTGCTTTAGAGCATCAGAAGAGGGACAGCGCTCTTGGGAAAAACCAAGGGAGTTCCATTCCTTGGAGTGGACGTGGGGATGGGAGGCACGAAGGCAAAACTCTTCCTACTTCCAAATTATTACTTAATCCCCTTTAGGATTCAACCTGAACATCGCAGCTCACCTCACGCTGCCTGGAAGGCAGAAGGAGAAAACTGTCCTCGGATGGAGAAGATAGCAGTCACCGTCGCAGCAGCAATTTATATCGCAGGCACCGGGAGTCAAGTCACAGACACAGATCGGTAGGACTATGAAAGCACAACATAAAACACAGCGAGTGCGGTGAGGATCCCCAAACTCTTCCAAGGTCCTTTCGACAGCTCCATTCCTTACTTTATGGGAATTCACTTTGTTATACACAGAATTTTGGATCTAAGTCGGTAGTTTCCATCCCCACATCCTTTCTCCTCACCTGGGAAGAGGCTCACGGTCTTATTCTCCGGTGTCGAGGAGGTTACGACAGTAGGACCCACCGTAGATATCCCAGGCACCTCCGAGGATTGAAGGGTCCCGCCCTGCGTCCTTGGCCCCAGGTACGAATGGGTGGGCATTGCCCTAGACGGAGACGGAGAGGGCTGAGAGAGGACCCTCTCGGGGACCATCAAGAACATCTGCAGTAGCGAGAGCTGCAAGCTAAACATGGGGCAATACAAACCACCCTCACCCAGCCCCAAAAGGTTTGGGGTGGCTTTCAGCGGTCGCTAGACGCGTCGCTAGAACGTGGGTGGGAGGAGTCGCGTGGCGTCAACGTCATCCGTATGCGCCTACCCATTGGCTCACGGCGACGGCCAGGAGCTCTTCAGCCAATAGAAGTCGGCGCTGTTACAAATCCTCAGCATCTTTCAGTCCGCGCCCTCCTCCTGCGACCTGGCCCTGTAAGGTCTCCGTCGCTTGGCAACCGACGGACAGGCGAAGGAGCCCTTGCCTCTTCTCTCCGCTGAGTGGCAGTAGGAGTTCAGCCAAATGCCGCGTGCGGCTCTACTTCGCCTCCAAGAGGCCTTCCTTGATAGAGGGAAGCCCCAGAGACTGCAACTAGAATTGCGTCTTTTCCACTCCGGATTCTAACGCTGAGAATCCTTTTCTAAAGGATATTCTCAAGGAAGAAAGTACACTGAAGGTCACATACCTTAAAAAAAAAAAAAAAAAATCTCATCTAAGTACAATATTTTGGGGGGAAACATGTTAGAAAGATTCAGCTCCTTCAGTTTTAACATTGAGAACATTTTCTTTAAAAAATAGCCAAGGGACAGAGAAGACTTTTTTTTCTTTTTGCTATTATTATAAATCGCAACCTTTTTTTTTTTTTTCCCCGACTGCGTCGTGGCTTGCGGTTCTCTGACCAGGGATGGAACCCAGGCCTGTTTGATAGCCAAGGCCCACTGGACTGTCAAGAAATTCCCTAAACTGCCACTTTTTGTAGCCCTCTTTAGAAAATTTTGTTTCTTTCCCATTAGTGCTGTGCCTCTACTGACTCCCTAATGCAGCACTGGCCAATAGAACTTTCTGCAATGTGAGAAATGTTCTGTATCTACACTGTTCAGTATGGCAGCTTCAGGCTATATGTGGCTACTGTGCACAGGAAAAGAAAGTGAAAGTAAAAGTCGCTCAGTCGTATCGGATTCTTTGCGACCCCATGGACTATACTGTTCATGGAATTCTCCAGGCCAGAATACTGGAGTGGGTAGCCTTTCCCTTCTCCAGAGGATCTTCCCAACCCAGGGATCGAACCCATGTCTCCCTCATTGCAAGCGGATTCTTTACCAGCTGAGCCACAAGGAAGCCCAAATGTTACTGAGGAGCTGAATTTTTAAATTTTAATTAATTCAGAGTTAAATAACCACGTGTGACTCGTATTTAGCGTATTGGATAGTATAACTCTAGGGTATCAAAATCTTGCTGTTAGATCCAGTATTTTTTGTCAACCTGCATATTCCTGATACCTGGATTATTTCAATTGCTTGGTTGGGGATATAAATTAAGACCTGTTAAGAGTTATCGGCCTTCCCTAGTAGCTCAGATGGTAAAGCATCCGCCTGCAATGCAGGAGAACTGGGTTCAATCCCTGGGTGGGGAAGATCCCCTGGAGAAGGAAGTGGCAACCCACTCCAGTATTCTTGACTGGAGAATTGCGTGGACAGAGCCTGGTGGGTCACAGTTCATGGGGTCGCAAAGAGTCGGACACGACTGGGCGACAAAACGTGCACATGCAAGAGTTATCTAACATCTAATACGCTTATCAAAAACTAGCCAATGCTTCCTCTTCCATAGGCAGGTAAATCTTAGGGCACCTGACCTTGCTCACATTCTTGAAGATACTGATATTCTAGTGTTTTGAATCTGGTAGCTAAATATATCTCTGTGTTATAAACATTCTCAAATATGTTTTTGTGTGATTGTGTGATGGACTTCCATAAGAGATATCTATATTTGTGTTTGGGCATAAAATATCTGCCTTCTTAGTAATTTCCATAGGAAAAGGCCAAGTTCATATTACTCAAATTATATGTATTTACTGGACTATAAGCTCCAAAAATAGAGGTTTTTTTTGTTTTGTTCACTGCTTGTATCCAATGCCTAGAACAGTGCCTAGGACATGCTAGATATGCATTAAATATTTTTTAAAATATTGTTTTGTTGAACTCTTTAGATTTCGCTCCTATGAATATTTAGTGTTTATATTAATTATGAACAGCATTTCTTTATATTCAGTTTCTATAACCAACTGGAGACTATTTTAGATTTCCAAGTTTGCATTTTACTCTTTAATTCTAATCAAAGATAAATCAATGATGTTACTAGTGGATTTATTAGTGTTGAAAAAAGAGTCTGTTGATTGAAGCAGTTTCAGGGTTGAATGTAGGGAAATAACATTAATGGATTACTGAGTTTTTTTTTTCTTATTTTTGGATCTTACCACTTTGCATGCTTTTTAAATACTTGTTTTCTCTTTTTTGTTATAGTGGAGCAAAAATATTATTTGTACTTTTGTTGTGATATGTTTGTAGGAAACTCTGTAATACAGAACTTTCAGTTCTTTTGAGATTTTAAAATCTGGTAGATAATTTTGAAGAAGGACAGGAAGTCTATTCACATGTTTCACACAGATGCCAATTTTAACATGAGGATTATATTGAACTAGCTTAATGTATCACCTCAGAAGCAGAGATTTCCAAAAAAGATCATATGATACTGGCAGATGTCTGGGTTTGGTACTAAAAGAGTTCAGTGTGTACTTAGAAATTTAATGAAGAGATGTAATCAAGATGGCAGACTGACAACAAGTTCTAGTCTCTCCTGACTCCTCCCCTGTTTAGATTATCCCAAGAATCTTTAAAAACTACAAGAAAGTTACATGAGCACATATAGTCATGTGCATCCATGCGCATACATTGATACTGAAAAACATTAAGGAGTGCTCTCAAAGGACCAAACATTATGACAGTCTTTGAAAAATAGATGTAAAGTAATTAGCCTCCAACTAATAAAAATAAATGAAAAAAAAGAAAAATAGAAGGCTCACAGGACAGGATTACAGTTGGATAAACAAAAGCTGTATAAGCAGAGGCTTAATATTGAAATAGGGGTGGCTCCTGTGGATGTTCTAAGCACACAAAAAGAAGCTATTGATATCAAAGGGCCCTTGGACAATAGAGATACTGATTGAGGTACCACTGTAGGAAGAGTCAGGTAGGTCAGCCTTTCAGCCTTGCTTCCATGTGCAAACGATGGAAACAAGAACTTGCTCCTAAAGAAGGCAGGGACAGCCATGTAGGCACTTTTATTAAAAAGATAGGACAGGGCCCTGGATAGTTTTTTACATCTAGGGGGAAGAGAGGCCTCACATCTTGAAGGCTGGTATCAGTTCCCCTTCTCAAGGTGCACATCCAACATTCCCTCCTCTATAAATCTATAAAAAACATAGGTTAAAAAGGATGCACTACTTTCAAAAGAACAATAACAAAACTCACACCTTAAAAAACTCCTTATTTTAACAGAAATAAGGAAAGTGGAATAATGTATTGAAAGAAGTTAATTTGACTTCTGTGCTCAGCAAAGTAGCCTTTAAAAATGAAGATGCAAATGTGTTTAGAAAACAAAAATTAAGAAAAACATTTTTTTTTTACAGATCCTCACAAAGAATTGCTAAAGAGAGTTGTTCAGGCTAAAGGAAAAATGATCCCAGATGGAAGCACAGAAACGCTGGAATAAATTAAGAGCAATGGAAAGGACAAGTACAAGGTCAGTATATAAAACTCAATTGTATTCTGATATTATAGAAATAAAAAATTAGAAAATAAAAAACTTTAGGTGATAAAATTTATAACATAAAAATTGAAATCAGTTCAGTTCAGTTCAGTTCAGCCATTTAGTTGTGTTTGACTCTTTGAGACCCTGTGGACTGCATGAAGCACGCCAGGCCTCCCTGTTCATCACCAACTCCGGGAGTTTACTAAAATTCATGTCCATTGAGTCAGTGATGCCAGCCAACCATCTCATCCTCTGTCGTCTCTTCCCAATTTCAATCTTTCCCAGCATCAGAGTCTTTTCAAATGAGTCAGTTCTTCACATCAGGTGGCCAAAGGTATTGGAGTTCAGATGCAGCAATCAGTCCTTCCAATGAATATTCAGAAATAGGTGATGGAGTTTAAAATATTCTTTCAAGTGCTTAAGAAAGGTATTAAGACACAGTAAGGAAAATGTCATCCCTAAGATTATAATTAATTAGACTATTGCTTTTCTACTTTTGGTTTAAAACCTGAATATATGACTATGGCTTTAAAAATGTTTAATTTGGCTGTCTTGCTACATTGAGATGTAGAAGATTAATATAGCAGTTAGAAATACAAGGAAATGAATATTTCCCAGTCGGTTAAATGTGGGAATTTATAATTCATAAGTTGATATAATTTCTTAAACATATTGTCTTTGTAACTATGGGTGCATCATTTCTTGGTAAGATTTTTATTTAGAGATTGCTGTTTTGTAGTGTAATCTTACATGTTCCCTGTAGGAAATTTAGCAGATAATATTGTAATGTGAAGAATATAGACCACTGTGTCATAGCAGTTTCTTAGATTTTTTTCATTTGAAGACATTAATAATGTTGCTTATAAACCCATGACACTGAATCACTGTCTTTTACAAATGTCATGTTCGAATATCTTGACTACCAAGTTGTAAATCTCATTTCTAAGTGCTTTTCTTGTCTTCACTACCCATCTTGTTACATTTTGGGGGAGGGGTTCTGTTTTTTTCTATTGATGGNTTAAGTATATAGTTCTGATCCATGAGCTATACATTAAAGAACTGATGAGACTTTAGGAAAATCTCTTTAGAAAACAAAAGTCCTTTTCCTCCCTTCTCCATGTTGCTACTTTTAATTTTGAGCAAAATGGCTGGAGCTCCACCAGTTATTTTGGAACATGAGAAGAAATATGAGCAGAGGTAAGCAACAAAAGGAAAGAAACCTGAATCCCTGACAACCATGGAAACTTCATGCTTGCCCAGGACTTCCTACCCCTGGACATCTTTCATACAAAGAAATAATTTTATAAAAGGGTGTTTCCCTGGTGGCTCAGATAGTAAAGAATCTGCCTGCAATGCAGGAGAACTGGGTTTGATCCCTGGGTCGGGAAGATCCCCTGGAGAAGGGAATGACAATTCACTTCAGTATTCTTGCCTAGAGAATTCCATGGATAGAGGAGAATTTTATAAAAGACCTCAACAATTTAAGTCATAACATACTTTAGTG